CTATAGCTATGCCACAATAAGTGTTCTTTTGTCTTAAAATTTTGATTGATATGCCGCTGCTAGAAAAGGCTCTTTGTTTGTATCTTGATATTAATCCTTATAAAAATAAATTAGTGATACGTCACTATCCAGGGAAAATGTGAAAGTAAAATACTTCCACTTCACGCCGGTCTTCTGTGAGGTCGTGGTACTTACCCGGACGGACCTGCCCATTCGTGCACCAGCCGAAGCTGTTCTGTGGCCCTACCACGGAGATATTTTAGGGCATTGATTATATTTAAAACAAATTCCTTTTTTGTTCATAGTTTCTATGATATTTCTAAATTTCATTTTATTTTTATTATTATATTTCTATGAATAGGCACGAATATATTACTGGTTTGGGTAGGTATATTAAATATTTTTCAATTTTTTTTTTTATTATTTAAATATTATTTAAATATTTTTATACTAAACAATGGAAACGCGCCACCACCATTACGACTGCAAAAGCCGGCAGCTACCCTAATATAGCCATAAATATTACATTTCCAACTTTACAACGAGCCAATAAAGCACAATTTCAGTTGGACCGTTCGGGAAATTCGCCGAAACGAACACTTCCGCGTTCCCGAAACGCGACCTTGTGCCATGGGCTTACGGCGCATTTTCCTCCGGCGGAGCGGTACCTTTTTGTTCGGAAAATGCCGTTGCAAAAGAAACCTTTCCCAGTTGGCATGCGGTCGCTTTTGCCTCGTCCGATATTGTAGAGACGCGCGCAGGTCATTTTCTTCCGCCCGGGGATGGCTATCTCGTAACGATATTCCGTCCTTGATCAACCCGCTTTCCGTGACCGGGAGAGGAAACGAAGCGATACTTAGTGCACTCATTCCTCACGTCAATCTCGAGCAGACTTCTTTTACGAGAGAAGGAAGCGACGAGCAAGTCATTTGAAAATTAAATTTTTATAGTACTAATAACTACACTCAAAGATAAACATTAAAATTTGTAGAAAAAAGTATGAAAACTTTTCCCCATTGTGGGAATCGAACCCACGTCTTCGGGATTCAGATTCGTACTGGCGCTTTAGCCACTGAGCTAACTAAACTGATTGCCACAAAGATTTTTCATACTTTTTTCTACAAGTTTTAATGTTGAAAGTCATTGAAATTTTTAGAATAATAATAATCATTTATTCCTCACCATAATCCACAGAAGTGACTACAAACTTAAGATAAATTAATTGCGAGGACCTTTGTCCCCCGGGATACGACGCAAACGCTCTAGCCACTGTGCCAAACGGCTTCGTCCGTTTTTAAAGCAAGTTTTAAATTGCATCTTAAATGCAGAGAATAACACTCTTGTATCTTGTATTAACTGATGTTTTTGCTTTCAGTCCCGAGACTATTAAAGCTTCATCGGACGCAGAACCGGTGGGCTAGCCAGAACCCACGGGTTTGGACCCTCCGCTATGGGTAGGGTCGCGCATGTGCTCATGCGTGCGTTTAACTACTATGGTGTGTCTGTCATCTAAGGGCCGTCGAGGTCGCCGGTTCGGACCGAGACCCCGACGGCCGTCGACTGTGCATTTAGCTAATCGGTGGCTGGGAGCGGTGAGAACCGCCCCGGAACGCGGGTGTACCTTGTGTACGCGTTGTGTGGGTCTCGCCGTGCTCGGAGGCGAGGGCGAACTGGTGTGATTGTTGTTACACTAACTGTGGGTGTAGTGTTATCCGGCGGGACCCTCGGCGGTGGGTCCATCGTATCTAAGTCCTCTTCGTCGACCGGGTCGATGAGGACGTTTCGCGGGCGACGCTTGTTTACGTTCGCGTTTGTGTCCGGTTGGTAGTTTGCTGCGCTTACCGCCAGAGGGTTGGGATGATGCTGGACTCTATCGAAGAACCGTTTTGTCAAATCTTTAAAATGTGCGCGATTCGTCGGGAGTCTGCAATCGCTGTGCAGGTCGACGTTGCGCTGATACCATTGCGCACCGGTTGCGCGGCGGATAAACTTACTTTGAACTACTTGCAATTTGTTAATGCGCGTAGGATTTATATGTGAGAGTGACACTATAAGATTGATACGAAGTGTTGTCTGCTATCAGTGGTCATTTAATAAAAATGAATATTCTGCCACTAGTGGTAAGTTAAGATATTATTCTGCCGAAATAGGTGGAACAGGAAATAATTTCTGAATGAATGTATTAAATTCTGTGTATTGTTATAGTAGATTAGGTTTAAAATGAGTCACAGATACGACTTGCTGCGTTCAAGAACACACTTGAATACCTAATAACTTGATATAGAATTATTTTTTCCAAAACTACCTCAAGCGTCTAATTCTTTTTACTAAATGGCAACTGATGTAGACTGGGCAGTTCAAAATTAATATAATTTAATGAAGTTCTGATTTTAGGTTATTATCGCCCACCACGATTTGTGGATAATATCCACAAAACCGTCTTAGGAGGATGGGTTGTATGTCAGTTACCAGAGAATACCAGAGAATATGCAAGAGTAACCGCGATAGGGCCTCGCAGCAGCGTCTACTGTTGCACCAGTGGGCAGGCCCGTCCAGGGAAGTATACAGCCTCACAGAAGACCGTGACAGCACTTTCGCGTTTCTTATTGGTGAGTGAGGTGGCCGGGACTAAGCTTGTTAATGGCCAGCTGCCACCCATCAATTGTAATATATATCCATGGGCGGCGGTAATCATTTAATTTCAAGTGACCCTTGGCCCTGAGACCATAAACAACTAAAACCATAGAAATGTGCACTATAATATACAGTAGAGTTCAGTACGATAATTAAGGAAGAGGAAAAATAACTGTTTGCAAAATGTTCTTATTGATGACACTATGCCCGTCAATAGATACTATAAAAAGTTTGAAAAATTATACTGAACTTGTTTTGTCTTTGTCTATTCAGTAGTATGGATTGTTTATGGTATGTGGTACTTTAACATGACTATTACCGCAATATATCGATAATACAAACTTATATGTATAATTTTTAATATATTTTTAATATTATATATAATATAAATATCTTTATTAAACGTATAGTATTTATAATTTATGTATGTGAAAGTTCACTTAAAATGTACAAAAACGAACAATACAATATCATCGAATTCTCCATAAATATCATGGTGGTTTTTTTTGTTATTATTTCGAAAATATACAAGATTCCTCACGATATTTTCCTTCACCGCAGAGCGTGAACACGTGAGAAGTGATAAATATAAGTATATCTAAATATAAAGCTCAATAGAGTGAGTACAGCGCGAAGGCTTTCGGAATAATGAACTAACACCATAAAAGCTCTCTCCGATTGAATAAATTATCGGCAGCTGCCGCCAACGTCCAGGGCCGTATCAAAAACCGCCTCGGAGATCCACTCGTCCCCTGAAATTAGCATTTAAAGTGACCTACGATAGCTTCAGGGTTGCCAGCGACACACTCACTAGTGTGAAACGTGCTTTAGAAAATAAAGCTTTACAATGAGCTTCTTTTTTCGATAATAAGAATAAAATAAACAATCAAAAAGTTTACCATCGCCCGGTTTAACTGTGATTTTAGTGCGTGAAACAATTAAGTTTATCCTGTAACAACGAACAGTGTGTTTTTCAATAAAATCTATTAAATCAATAATTTAAAATCTATTCAATCAACTACAATCGTATTAAATAGTAAATTTTAATCAGCCTCGATTAAATCATTCTTCTAGACAAATAGCAAAACTGGTTTCTTCAATCGACCTTAGCACCTAAGGCTCTTTTTTAAACTACCTAAAATCTTGGGCGCCAAAAAAACTTTCGTCTCAAAAACTTCTTTCGGCGTAACTTTTACATTTCGTCTAAAGTTTGTTTTGCTTGCTTCTGCGACCATATCGAGTATAATTATCATCATTGTTACATAACAGTGAGGCATATGAGTGAGGTAGCCGGAGTCCAATTTTCAAAAGGTTGTCAACGCATCTGTAACCCTCGGGTGTAGCAGATGTCCATGGGCGGCGGTATTCACTTACCATCAGGTGAACCGTCTGCTCGTTTGGCAACTTTTCACATAAAAAAAATACAAAAGAAAATAACATAAGTATAACATAATAACACAGCAGATTTGTGTAAGTATTGGTAAGCTGCGTTCTCAGTTTATGAGAAAACGAAACTCGTATTGAATGGCGTAAAATAATCAAACGAAATTGTACAGTTTATGTATTTTAACGCGTTTTATTTTAACTTTTAATCTCCGACGCTGGAACTCTTTACAACGTCCATGGTCAAGGAACCGACTGAGTGATTTTACGTCCAAATATCAGAGTCAGGGGCTACCGGCATTCCATTAAAGTGGAGATAACTTACGCGTAACTTGAAGCGTAATTGATATGGTAAGGAAGGAACTTTAAATGTCGTTTCTTTATGTAGGTTTGTTAAATATTATTAAGCAAAGATAGAAAGAGAAAGACTTTTTGATTCACCGAAGGAAAATAAAACTTTGTTTAACAGTACTTTGGGCAATAGATAATAAAGTTTACTTTGTACAGAAATGTTCATGAAATATGCATTATTATAATAACTGAGCCAACAAAAAATCTGCCAACTCTATCAGATTGTCAATTTTAAATGATAATTATAAAGTGTCATCGTTGTTTTGTGAAGATTTTCATTTAAGTTAATGTTGACTTTTAGATTATTTTTTTACGTTTTGCGCTTACTTTATTTCAAACACTAATTATAAATGTCATGGTCATAAATATGTATAGCGTTCGCGTGTATGTATGTCACGACGAAATTAACTTTTTGTTTCTTCGTGTTATGTAAATGTACGGATGGTGTTACTTTGTTAAATAAACGTACATTTACGTACGTTTGTACAAACGATCCCTGCTACTAAAACAGGAAAACAAAGCGACTAAATAATTAAAAATCAAAAAAACAAAATAGTAACGGTAAGGAAATATCATAAGGTAAGAATATAAGGTATATGATAAGCTTCGGGTACGAAAATGACCTAAAATTATTGCAGAACGAAACGGGAACACGCTACGGGATGGAAACGGATTGGCGGGGCGTACCTCGGCGCTTGATACGGGTGGGGGGAGGTTGGATGGTGGCGGAACGGGGGCGCCCCCCACGCGTATCGACCAGGCACCTGGGGGGAGGGGGAGGGGGGGGAGACTGTGTCAGGATCGCTCTCGTGAGCGCAGCTCCACTAACCGAAGCCCAGAGCGAAAATTCAGCAGACCGCTTCGGGCGGAAATGCATCAAATTGCGTCTATTCCCCCCTCCCCCATGTCCCTTCTTCCCTCATTACGTTATGTTTGATCAGAGATTTAGGACTCCGCTTTAAAATGTGATTTGTCACAGCTCGGTTAAAATGTCAATCGAAGAACGCATTGTGAACAAAGTCCTGTGTGCCCATGTCAAGTCAATAAATTTCCCGCGGACAACACCCAGATGCGAAACAATTATCTGTGGGTCAAATAATTGTCTCGTGCGGGGATCGAACGCACGACCCCCGACGCCTAAACCAATACCTTGGCAACTACGCCACGGAGTCATCAACGTTAGAATTTATTATTTATTTATTTATTTGAGTTTATTTATTTTAACAGGCAACCAAACACATTTAAATAATTTAAATAAGATAAACTTAAATAGTAACCAATAGATATGTATTTACGAGTAAATTAGAGTTAAATTCACAATTTATCTTACAATTAATTATTAGGTACTTACTAATTAATTAACGGAAATTTCTACATTATAAAAGAAAATAAAGTAAAAATAAAGTGAGTGTTTAATCTCCAGTGAAACAGGCGTTATTATCCCAAACGGGAATCGACATTGGTTAATGGAGAAAAAAGTCTGTCAGCTAGACACAAATAACTCAGAGGCGCAGTTCTAAGCTATTGGCTTCGGCCAAGTTAGTAGGTTCGATTCGCACACATGAAAAATATTTATGAAACCCACAGAAAATGTTCCGCATCTGGATATTTATTACTAAAAGGGTTAAAGGCAGGCAGGCCAGTCTTCTAAATGTTGTCTAGACCACACAAAGGTCTATAAAAAAGAAAGAAGAAGAGTTAAACGAGTATGTATTGCTTGACGTCCTGAGTAATAGTGTTAGGCTAACGAGAATATAGAGTGAGGATTTTTTTATATGTGAGAAGGTGGCAAACGAGCTGGCGGTTCACCTGATATTAAGTGGTAACCGTCACCCATTCACATTTGCAACATCCCTAGGGTCTCAGATGCGTTACCACCTTTTAATAGAATGGGCCCCGGCTACCTCACACTTCCACTTCACGCTGGTCTTCCACGAGGTCGTGGTAATTGACCGGCAGACCTGCCCATTCGAAGACCAGCGTGAAGTGGAAGTGTGAGGTAGCCGGGGCCCATTCTATTAAAAGGTGGTAACGCATCTGAGACCCTAGGGATGTTGCAAATGTGAATGGGTGACGGTTAGCACTTAAAATCAGGTGAACCACCAGCTCGTTTGCCACTTTCTCACATAAAAAAAATGCTAAATGCAATGAATGTAGTCTGAACACTCAATAAAATGGACAATTAAGATATATTTAATTCAGATTAACTAGTTACACTTATGCTTCAACACGCCGAGAGCCTGGTCTCTCGTCACGATATTTAAAATAAACATCTGGAAAAAGTCCGCAAACCCTGCTTATGGCAATGGCTAATTAAATAATTGTATGCGCCCGATAGGAACTGTTGATTGTGGCCCCCACAGGCGAGTGTAGGCACATTTCGGGAATGTCGAGGGTGGCGTTCGAGGCCAATACAGACACCCGGGGCGCCCTAGCTTACTCCAATTACGACATCAACGTAAATGATTAAGAGAAATAAATACAAGTCCATTTTTTTACTTACGAAAAACAAAACCGACTTCGAACGTCTCGCTCTGCATCCATTTTATATTTGATTTTAAGTAGTTCCCTAAGCATCTCCGGAGCCCAAGATCCAATACCAATGAAATCGTATGGGAACCACATGGGAAGCACCAGCATTCAAATAAAAAAGGTATCATCAAAACTGGTCCACTCAGACGAAACTTCTGAGGTAACAAAAATAAAAAAATACCGTCGAATTGAGAGCCACCTCCTTTTTTGAAGGCGGTTGATAAACATTAATTATGAGAAATAAATAAAATATTATAAATGAAATATTCCCGAACCTCGGTCTATTCGGCCACGACGCAGAAAACGCAGATATGTTTAAGAGATCAGATCATAAAGTAATCAGTATTACAATAAAGTAATCAGCAAGTCCCAGTGTGGGACGACCCCCCGCTAGATGGAGTGACGACCTGTGCAAATGTGCGGGAAGTCGATGGATGCAGGTGGCTCAGGATCGTACTTCGTGGCGGTCTGTGGGGGAGTCCTATGTTCAGCAGTGGACTCAAGCAGGCTGAAATGATGATGATGATGAATCAGCAAATCTAAAGCTCTATAGGTCCTGATAGGTTTAATATGGTATAAATACATAAATAAATACCGTTTTCATTTATATTCTTGTTGCACTTTTGATTACTCGTTGCATGATATTTATTTAGCTTTGTGAAGTAAAATCTACCGCTTGATAATGACCAATTGTTTCAATAATAAATAATGCAACAGCTTATTAATCTTGGAAAAAAAACATAACCAACAAAGACATATATATCATTATTTTGTGGCCTAATGGACACAATCAGCAAAGCTAGATCTGTTACAGATTTATTACTCAGTGACTTTACCATCCCCATACATAACTTTACTTCGTATACTTTAACTTTAGATGGTATTCAATATTCGCGAAACGCGAAAACTTCCCGGAGCGAGCGCCGTAAGCCTCCGCGAATTGATTTTTAAAATACCAACACAAAGGAGACGGGGCGTACGCCCGCTAAGAAAATCCGACGCCATTTTCTTTGCGCTACAAATTCTTAATGGACTCCACCTTCAGCTGCCGGAGACAATAAAGAGAGTGAATTCACCACAAAATCCATCCACAATCGTAACCAAAGCATTATAACGTTATCAATTAACACCCAAATTCTCGTTCAAATTCCGTAAAGTTTTCGACAATGTACTAAATTAATCATCAGCCAAATGACGTCAACTGCTGAACGTCACTTTGACATTTCCATCGCATGGCTATTTGCCACTACTCTTGCGATCCTATTGGTCCACCTAATATGAGGCCTTCCAAAGCTACGTCTTCCGTTTGTAGTCGCCACTCGTCAACTTATATTCTCCCGACGGCAGTGGCGAATTTTCTCTAAGACCCAATAGGGCCGGGCGGTCACATCAAGGGGCGGCCAATCGTGAAAAAAATTCACTGATGATAACGAGTTATATGATGGGCGCGATAGAAAGGGGCGGCTGGAACTAATACATGCGCTGGGGCCTAAGGCGGCCAAGACTACAAATCCGCAACTGCCCAACGGTCATCACTAACGGTGGGAGGGCTGCAGCAGTTTGCTGTTGCACGAATAGGTGGCTCGTCCGGGGAAGAACCACGGACTCGCAGAAGACCAGCGTGAAGTGGAGTAATTACTCATTTGCGTTTCGTCTGGTAAGTGGGGTGAGCGGGGCCTAATTCTTTTTCCAAGTATGCCAAAATATCCGTGTGTGTACATGTAAAGTTTGCAGAAAAAATCAAATCTACAAAGAGGTCGCTTGAAGAGTTCAACTTCTTGGAAGGGTTCGGGAAATTACGCAAAATCTCGGCCTTTGTCGGATAATTCGGCGATTGGGTTAGTCGGCGTTCGGCGTTCTACTACCAAACAATACAACCCGTGCACGTGACATTACTATACGTAAAACACTGATAACGTGCAAAAACTTAAGCCGAGGGCGTAATAACGTGGGGTCGGTACGGGCCCTCCGCAGAACTTTTTAGGTCAGCCCGCTTTTATGGAAAGGGGTGCGTTGGACTCGAGTCGAGTTCACGGAGGACACGATATCGTGTTACGAAGATTGAGTTACGCTTTGCTACCAATTAATGACTTCGCCGACGATAAGCACTTATCATTGTCTTCGAGAGAAATGACACGAGCGGTGTTCAACTGATGTAAATTAAAGTTCAAATATCTTTATTGAATATAGATCATAACAGTTAGTTATTGATTGCGAAACTACTTCTAACGATAAAACTAACGGTTCGGAAAAGAAAAACCAGAGAAGAACCGGATACATCCATTTACTGAGACGATTCTCTAACACGGATACGCTATGTCTGCTTATCTCGTTAGGATTGAAGTCGTGAGTGTATATATTATTTATGTAGCATTCAAAACCTTCCGTGGACCCTTAAGGAACATACACAAAAATAAATAAGCCAAATTTATCCAGCCATTCTTGAGTTATAAAGATTATTAAGATTTTCATTATTCTGTTTAACAGATAATCCAGAGTTTATTTAACCTCATATTAGGTTAAAGAGACTTACAATTTATATCAAAGTAAATATTAAAGTTTTTGTTTATCTTAAGCTGTTGCAGAATACTAATACGTAAATTTAATACCTACTATTACATGCACCTGTAATAGTGGGTACTAAATCTATCAAATCAAATTTACATTCATAACACAAAGTAATTGATCGAAGTAATGTTTTATTCAATATTTGTTTACAATGTCGTCGGAAAATTTCGCAGAATAATAGACAGTGCCGAACAGACTCAGCGTTTTATTTCCAGGACTTACTACTACTACTAGTCAATTCTAAATAAACTTCCATGTATTAACTCTCTACTATATTACTCCTAAGTATCCAATAAGATAAGTGTCGCGCTTAATTACGTCATTTATCAACGAATGAACATAAATGCTTTATAATATTTCTTCAATTTCTTTTTTAACAGTTTTTATTTATCATTGAACTCGGTATTTTTTTGATTTTAAAGTTAAACCATCCTGAATGAACCCTAATCGACCCTCCTATTCCACCGTGACTTAATATGCATGTAATGGGGTGTTTTATAACACACCACCTCGCGAAATAGTTACTTAAAGTGTTATAATTTAAGTAATGAACAAAATCGTGTAATTGTGGTGAGTAATACTTTAAACCGATCTCGCTTAAACATACTTTGAGTTTGGCAAACTGTTTTATCATTACATCAGTTTGTATTACGAAATATTTATTGAAGGAAACACGAAATGTTTCATTAAACAGTTGAAGCAATACGTCGGCCTTTGTCAAGACACTTCACACTACACAGCGCTAAAGTCTTTTGGCATGTGTCGCGTTAGCGGGGTTTATATCACTAGATATATTTCAATTCCATTAGTAGGTAATAAACGCTTGGAGGATCTCGGATTTTGGGGTCACACGAAAGGAGCACAAAGGAGTTTCGCTTTGCGAAAGGGACGGGGTGGGCGGGGGTCGGTCCTATTTCTAGTTGGATAAGGTGCGGAATCGCGCGGCAACCCGCGAGGGGGCGACGGGAGCCCAGTTCGAGCCCGATTCCCGGGGACCCCTGGATCGATGGCGGCTCGTATCTGGTTTTTTCGGACAGCACGCCGGCCGGGCGGGGTGAACGAACGGCGTTACGTAAGGCGCCGGTCGATAGGGCGGCACATGCGCGCCACCCCATCCGCCCGCTAGCCATTACGGCTCGGACGCGCCACCGCGACGGACGTGCCCCGCGTTTTGTTTTTACCGCGTTTTTCGTTTCCCTTTCGTTCTTTCCGTTTATGATTTGAGGCCGCGATGTCCAAGGGTGACAGCGAGCAGCAAAACGGCTCCGGCGAGGAGTCCAAGACCAACCTGATCATCAACTACCTGCCGCAGAGCATGACGCAGGAGGAGATAAGGAGCCTGTTCTCCAGCATCGGCGAGGTGGAGTCGTGCAAGCTGATCAGGAACAAGGGGGCCGCGTTCCCGGACGCGCTGAACCACGCGCTGCACGGCGGCGGCCAGAGCCTCGGCTACGCGTTCGTCAACTACCACCGGCCCGAGGACGCAGAGAAGGCGATCGCGACCCTCAACGGGCTGCGGCTGCAGAACAAGACGATCAAGGTCTCGTACGCTAGGCCGAGCAGCGAGGCGATCAAGGGCGCCAACCTCTACGTCTCCGGCCTCCCCAAGACCATGACGCAGGCGGAGCTCGAGCGGCTATTCAGCCCGTACGGGCGCATCATCACGTCGCGCATCCTGTGCGAGAACTCCGGCGGCAGGCCGTTCACCGGCGGCGAGCAGGGCCTGTCCAAGGGCGTCGGCTTCATACGCTTCGACCAACGGGTGGAGGCGGAGCGCGCGATACAGGAGCTGAACGGGACCGTGCCCAAAGGCGCCTCCGAGCCGATCACCGTCAAGTTCGCCAACAACCCCAGCAACAACGGCAAGGCGCTGGCGCCGCTGGCTGCATACCTGCCGGCCGCGCTGCGCTTCCCGGCGCCCCTGGGCCGCTTCAGCTCAGGCAAGTCCCTCCTAGCGATCAACAAGGGGCTGCAGCGCTACAGCCCCCTCGCCGGCGAGCTGCTGGGCGGCGTGCTGCCGAGCGCCGTCGGCTCCGAATGGTGCATCTTCGTGTACAACCTCGCCCCCGAGACGGAGGAGAACGTCCTCTGGCAGCTGTTCGGCCCGTTCGGCGCGGTCCAGAGCGTGAAAGTGATCCGCGACCTGCAGACCAACAAGTGCAAGGGCTACGGCTTCATCACGATGACCAACTACGACGAGGCGGTGGTCGCGATCCAGTCCCTGAACGGGTACACCCTCGGCAACAGGGTGCTGCAGGTCAGCTTCAAGACCAACAAGATAAAGACGATCTAAGTCGGTCGTCCGACACACGGCCTAGCCGGACGCTAGGACGGCACAGCAGGCGCGCACCCATACATTGGCAACGTCGTAAGCAGCACCCGCACCGAGGACTCGCCGCCTCAACGCCGACACAACGGCCCGCCCTGATCTCGTCTTCCCTTAACCCAGACCACCCCCTGGCGGCCGCCGTCAGCGGGTATTTTGTTTAACGTTAATTAAACTATTATTAAAATAGCGAAAGTAATCGACTAGGGTAGCCGGCCCTTTGTTCAGCGTCGTACATTCCTAGGTACTCGTAGATAAGTATAGTTGTGTGCATAACGTTCGGATACACGCCCGAATTAGGTTAAGTGTTTCAGGAAAACAAAATGGCGGAACCGCGGCCGCCGCAGCAGCGCGCATGTCCAGCTAAGATGGCCGACATTGAATGAAGGGCGGCGGCAATGCAATAATTAGATACGAGGCATCAAATGCTCCACTACTCGAACGGCCTGCAACAACCGTACACATTGGTCATAGTCAATAAAATGGCAATCAACTTCGCTTATGAAAGGTTGTGGTTAACGTGAAAAAAAATGTAGGTTTTTTCGAATATTAATGGTAAATGATAATTAGCAATAATAGCCTAATGCTACGCTCCCGTTTTGGACGCTCATATCGTAACGGTGGCTGGACGGACATCACTAATCTATTCAGACTACCACGCTGACCACAGCAGAGTACCGGGGCGACAGACGCCCCGCCGGACTAAAATGTTATATTGTTAAAAGATTCGAAGAATATATATTATCTATACGTATATTTTAATCATATAATATTAATCTAATTAAGGATGAAAACTAATCAAAAACTGTGATAGGTTTTGATAAAATTTTAAAAGGAAAGAGGAGAGGGCGTAATGGATGAGACGAGGAAGGAATCGAGTGAGGTATTGAGCCGGGGCCGCGGCTTGGCCGGTCGTAGAGTCGGCTAGGTTAGTTTTTGAGATAGATTTTGACGCGGTTCGGATCGAGGGGAGCTAAGAGCTAGTGCACGGCGCGGGAGGGGCACCCGGGGAAAATCGATTCAGCTGCTCCGGGCACCGGGAGGGACTCGGGGCTAACCCTCCCTCTCCCTCCCCACCCCCGACCGGCGGGGGTGCCCCCACCCACCCGCAGCGGGGGCCCCGTTCGCGGAACTATGGTGCGTACTAGTCTAAAGGTTTCATTAAAGTTAGTAAAAAAAAAGTCGACGTCTAAAACATATGATCAGTACCTGCTAAATAATAATGTATGGATGCGGACCTGCGTCTATTCGAAGTAGGCTTTAATCGTCTTAGTTTAAATGGAAATTTGTAAATAGAAAGAGAAGTTTGTTTAATGAGAATAATAATATTAAAAAAAAATAACGATAATGATTATAATAATAGTACTCTCGCCGCGTCTGAAAACACGCCACACTAGAACCACAGTAAATTCAACCCAAAACAAATAAGACCTATTGATGAAACATCGAACTTGAATAGATTAAATATCGTGCCGTCCTAACGACCCTACGATTTTTGTAAAAAAAAATATATACTTAATATATGTAAAAACAGTTTTGTAACATTTCAGATATTAACTAATAGGTACTCATTACATACCAAAGGAGATTAAAATTTACAAGTATTTATATATTTATTATAAATGTAAATCGTGCAATAACTGATAGTCAGTAATTTAATAAAAATATATTAAACAAATTGACTCGAAGAGACGTTAGACATAATGTCAATGTGGGATGCGATGTTGCCACATTTACTGTTTATTGTACTCTATTGGTTTATCCGAGCTACAGCCTCGCGGGCGCTCACAATTTAAACGTTTCTTTTTAAAACGACATCTGATGTAGAAAAATAATTAACAATTTATTTCAGCTTCGTTTAACCGGCTTCGATATGCTTGACATTCCAGTTTAGTGTTAATGTAAACTATGTTTTATTATTAGGTGTAACAACTGTATTATTTTAGACGAATTGTGAGTTACCAACGCGGTTCGCGGACGTCTTTCGGGCGACATTTTCCCGCCCTTCGACGTTCGGATATGCGTCATGTTTGATTTCGAATCGATGTCGGTTTCGCGACGAAGGGAGTGTTTTTATGCACAAGTTTTGCAAACCTATTTATTATATTATCCTAAATTAGCGACGTCTCTTAGTATGTATAGTTGTTGTGTATTTTGTGTTACGCAGCATGAGTAATTTGTACTATCCTCTAGTCAGTGGTATATTAATATTTTGAATAGTTGGATTTGATGTTGGGATTAATAATATTTTTCTCGTGAATCTATGTTCGTAGTTTCACTCTATTATAATTTTAGCATATGCGATGTATTTATTGTATCACAATTATTGTATTGATAATTATTAAATTAGGCGTGGCGTTCGGATATTATTTTAACAGAATTTTTGGTAAATATTACGAAATCCGGTCGGATTCGATAATTCGTTGATACGACCTAAATTGATTTATTTATTAGGGAAATATATCGGGCGAATGATACGTTTGGGGAGTGATGTCGAAACCCACGGGTATTTGATGATATCGCTTTTTTTTTGTTGGTGAACGTGTTACAATTTGCGTTCCGTAAGACTCGTTTAATTATTCATTTCCTTTTTATCTCTCTTCGTGTGAGAGGACGTGAATCGTTTAGATCGAAACAGAAAACACCAAAATTTTAAAACTCATCGACTTTTTAGATAATAAATAATGATAAATGTGGAAATGCAAAATATTTTGGAGTGAACTGTTGGTTAGGTGTACGATTAGGTGTACTGTCGCTTGTTGGGGGTGTATTAGTAGAATGTTTTGTGCGTTCCCCTTCTTCATTCGGTAATAAATAATCGTTAATGGACGTTTAATGGTAATTAAATTATAGTGCTCAATAGTTTAGATGACGATGAGCCTGATAGTGACGTAAAAAAACTGGAAAAGCAATAAAATGAATTGTGAATTTTTAAGCCATAACACACGATTAGGTACGCTACAATATAATTAACCTAATATTTTTATATGTATTTTAAAATATACTGTAATTCATATCTTCATAGCTGTAAGCGGCCGACTTGCAAAACGTTCTACTAATAAAAAAAATAGTTTAGGCCTTGCGGACTGCCATGAAAACAAAACGGCGATGGTCGCGCGGTTTTACCGCAAAGTTAGGGAATGTAGGTTAAGATTGGGACGAAGGGATAAGCAATATTGGCTAGTCAATGGCAGTTATCAAGGTCTTAATCGCCTCTGTTGCGTCCACAGATCTTCTTTATATAACATTGTGGATTGCGGGGGATAACTGTATATAACCCCAGTAAGTGACAAGGGATAATCAGACCTATTATCAATAGCATAACGGCTACTTTTTGAAAGGTGTTTTGAAGCATTTTTTATGAAATTAAAAAAAAAATAATATTATTAAAAAAAGTAAAGGTAATTAATTGGCATCACACGAACAATACTCTAAATACGCATAGGCTAATTGACATTGAGGCTGTGAGAATTAGCAAAAATAAAGTTAAAAAAAATCACGTGACGTTTGACCTTAATTAATTAAATTAATGGATTAAGCGGTTTCGCGGGACGAAGGGAAACGTGACTTTTTAATGTTTGTAGAAATGTCATGTGAGACTGTCGAAATTTCGCGCCATTTTTGACATCGTGAACATAATCTTTAAAGATACGTCCTTACTCGCAGTAAAGATTGACCAATCGGCGAGGTTCCCGCGCAAATCGTAATACCCCGATCGCCCGTTCAGTTCGTGGACTACAAAGTTGGAACATGATAACCATATCATAAGCGACGCGCGTTTCAACGACGGACTTAACAAAAACAGCCATCCACTCAGATAACATTTCTGCTCTTCGTTCAGCGAATGCATCATGATATCACGCTGCTGCATTTAAAGGCCCATATAATAAGTAAATCAATTGACGACTCCGACGAAATAGCGCGAGCGTTCTTACGAAGAATCCAAGCGGTAATTGTGAGGGGGACAGGATGATGGCTCTGTGCTGTCGCGGGATGCTTTTACAAGGTGCACAAGCGTGGAACCGTCTCCGTGTCGGCCATACGCACAAATGATACCCGATGGCCGCGGCGGAACCGATTCTGGTAGTTAGGTCACGAAACGGTGAAATTGTATCTTCCATAGTAAATAAATACGTAAGCTAAGCGTCCCGCGCGTGGTGACCACCCGGCGTTGTGTCGTAACGTCGCACGCGGCCAACAAAATGCTCAATACAATAAATCCCGCCCGGTGTTGCGACACCGCTCGCGATTTATCGATAACCGAGCACCTATCGATAAACAGCGACCGCCCGCGGCGTCCCTACGCGCGGGCGTATCGAGACATCGACTAAATGTGTTAATTCATACGCCAATACGCTCGAGAATCTAGTGCATGTTTCAACGACCCTTTCAACGCTGCGCGGCTATACTGTTGTAAAATTATGGAAAAAAAAAGATAACTAATGATAATATTTTAAACTAACTACGTTTGCTCATCAGGTACTTCCTCGTATTTTGGATCTGTTTCTCTAGTAGGTAGCTTTTAGAGGTATATTCTTAATAGTTTTATAATGTTATAGCCTAACGCGGCAAGATTTTTCCCTTACCCTTTGTCATCTTCACATCCGGCGGATAAATCGAGGCTTCGCGCGGTCCTGTTACCAAAAAATTTTAAAATTGATAAACCACCTACAATTCAATTAAACACTAATCAGATATGTATTTTTATTGCCGATTGTAATAAGATCTAACGTGACGAGTTCTCCTAACATAAATCGTACTTAACTTTTTAAATTATTTAATTTACCAATACGTTTCACATTTTATCCGCCATTTCAATATAGACAGTGAAAGGTACATGATAACATTTAAACAAAATACAAAAACCGCGAAAGAAACTTGCAATAGTGTCGGACACTTGTTTGCTTTCGACGGAATCGGGTAAATCAAAGAATGCAATAAATATGTAAATGGTAAGAAAATAA